CGGCCCGATGGGTTGATCTAGGACTCAGTCGACGCGAAGCCAGGACCGATCTAGATGAGTGATTTGGACCGAGTGACAACAAACTTGGACAACCCGATCGATCCGGGCATCAACCCAACCAAGTCAACCCGATTCGACCCGCTCACTATAGTTTTTTTTAAATATATTTTTGTTTTAAAAATAAAATATTTTGTTTATATATTAATATGGTAAATATTTATTATGAGAAACAATATCACTGACACTCTAATATACATTAAAAACATTTATTTATGATACTTTAATGTATATTTATATGATAAAAATACTATATATGATTTTCCAAAAATTAAGTTAATTATTTGGTTCAACAATTGACCTGGTAAGCCGGCGGTTGCACCGGTGACTCGATGTCCCGAGGCCTGCCCTAGTAAATTCTCGTGTTGGATTTAAAAACTATGTACTACAGCACACATTTATTACACGACGATAAACAACAACAATTTCAGATAATTAATGATCAGGATTCCTCAAGATTATAAAAGTTACATTAACCACTGCTTTTTATGCAATCGATGATTTATATGTAGTTAAGTAGTTTTATACTATTCATTTTATCAATGAAGAATTTTTTAAAATGTGATATAATTATCTATGATATTTATATTATTATTATTATTATTATTATTATTATTATTATTATTATTATTATTATTATATAGCTTATAATACATTATTTACACATGTGCACGTGCACATAATCTGTAACACACCAATATATAGATATATGTAAATTAATATATCATGAAAATCTATTTTGAAAGGATCAAGATAATGTGATAGGGCATCTTTTCTTAATTGTCATTGACTTAAGCCAATGGAACACACCACATAAATTATAATAATTTATGACTTGATACGATGGAATAGAATTTAATAGGAATATAATGAGTTGAAAAAATAGAATGATTATTAGAAATGAATAAATACGTTTTTACATTGATGTGTAATAGGAAAAAGAACAACACCTAAATGAAATGATAGTACCATCCTATATTATCATCTATCACTATGTTATTTTTCTTATTTAGGATAATATTAATATTATTTTTATTTTTAAAAATATACTATAATTGTATGTTACACTTATATTATATAATAAACAAGTGAATTATTTATTTGTATGTATTAACAAATATAAATATATCATTACATTAATCCCTATAAGCATGTGTGGTCGTAGATAATTATTTATAATTTAATTCAATTTATGAAAAAATATATAATATATATGTTTATATGAAAATAAATAAAAAAATTCAACTATTTATAAATGCATTTTTCTAAATTTAATAACAAAAAAGTATTTAATATATATATATATATATATATATATATATATATAGGGAGTGGTTCAAATAAAAACTAGTCCTGGTGTGAGAACCGTGAGAACCGTATTTGATGCTATTTTTTATTGTGCATGATGCTATTTTTAATATTACATGGTGCTATCATTTCAAACATGAATAATAAATAAAAAATAAAATTATTTATAGTTATTTATTTTGAATTTAATTTTTAAAATAAATAATTTAATCATGGTTTATATTTTATATAATGTACTTATTTTTTGTTGTTACTTGTTAGTTTTTTATTTTTTAACTTTTGTGAAAAATCAAATCCCAAAGAAATGGGAATGAGAAAACTATACATTAGAAATATAATAGTTAATTCATTTGAGATGGTTTTTGCAATCCCCATTTGAATGTGTAGGGTGTGCAAACACAATCCCACATCGAAAAATTAAAGGTTCCAAGTCCAATATATAAGCTTGGTGGGCTACTCCTTCTATTGCCAATTGGTTTTAGAATGGAACATCATTTGGGCTTGTATGTCGGGCTTGATAGAGAAGTGGTTTTGAGTTGTTGGTCCTAACAATTGGTATCAGAGTCACAGTTGATAGCCCAGTTGCGATGTAGATGATGTGACATGTTTCTCGTGGAGCCGGTGGGCGGCTGGTGGATCCGTGTGCCTTGTGTCGAAAGTCTTCCTGGTGAAAGGGTCGTCAGGCGGCGGGTTCCGTGGATGATAACGGCGGTACAAGATGGTCGGATCATATTAATTTCGTTCAAGGGGAGGCCCAATGTGGTCTTGTGTTTGAGGGGAGGTTTGTAGAGGGTGCAAACCCAATCCCACATCGAAAAATTAAAGGTTCCAAGTCCAATATATAAGCTTGGTGGGCTATTCCTTCTATTGCCAATTGATTTTAGAATGGAACCCCATCTGATCTTGTATGTTGGGCTTGATGGAGAACTGAGTTTTGAGTTGTTGGTCCTAACAGAATGGTCATTCATGAGAATGATCATTTCATTATCGCGTCACAAGAATTCTATGGAGTCATCAGATGGTTTTCTTATGGAGCCATCTATCACTTAATGTATTTGTTGTGACCATTTTTGTTACGTTTTTTTTTTATTATTTTGTTGTTCATTTTCTCTCTTTTTAGGTCTATTTGTTAGTTTATTTTATAGTTTATTGTGTGTTTTGTTCTATTTTGGCTTTTTATGTGTCTTTCGTGTATTTTGTCGTTTTTCTACGTTTTTCTTCTTGTTTTTAGTGTGCAGGTCGGAAGCCCCATGAGGAATCGATTTAGCTCAAAAATGGGTCGGGAAATCATGGTTGGATAGATGGGTTCCTTAGCTACACATAGGAAAAATCGCAATCCAATTTCGAGTTCGGACGAGTCCGGACGGGTCCAGAACGCGAAGTCGTGCGAAGCACGTTCAATGTGTAGGTGAAGAGCTTTGAGAGAATATTATTTCAAGAATAATTTGGCCATTCAAGCATCATTGAATAGAGAGGTTCGTTAGTGACGCATAGGAAAAAACGGAACTCAATTCCGAGTTCGGACGAGCCCGAACGAGCCCGAAACGCAAAGTCATGCAACCCAGCCCCCCTAGCGCTGCTAGCTACCCCTAGCGAACTTCAGAGCCTCGGCCATCCATACCCTAGCGCCGCTAGCACCCCCCCCTAGCGCCGCTAGCTCCTGTTGGCAGACAATTTCTTTTTCTTTCCCTCAAATTTCGGCCTGCTTTGATGGTGCTCGAAAGTGGGGAGCCTTGGACCAATATTTTCAGCTGAAATTTGGTCGTGGTGTTGGAGAAGCAACTCCTACTTATTCTCTTCCACTTTACTACATGGAAAAAAACCTTTGATGCTTGAACCTAGAGGGGTTCTTCCCCCTCTCCCCTCTACTCATCTCCTCTCTTTTTTTCTTCTTCTTCTTTCTTCTTCCACCACTTTATTTTATTTTCTTTCAAGGATTAAACTTGTATTTTGGATTCAACTCTTGGACTTGGATTGATTGTAAGTTTAATTTCTGTTTGAATTAATTCATGCATAATGGTTAATTTAGGAGAAATACGTTGTTGTGTTGAATCAATTATGAGTAGCTAATCCTCTAGCTAGGGTTAAGGGATAATCATTCCGGTTTGTTCTCATTTATGTGCATGACGATAGCTCAATCTTGACGAGTTGTTTTAATTATGAATTGATAAAATCATACTCAATAAATTGTTATAACTTAAGATTGACACTTAGGTTAATTTGTTGATATAAGCAAAGAGTGACACTTTGATTCGTGATTGAATATTTATTTGTTGAGTTAGAGTTTGTTAATTCTACGAATTGCGACTTTTAGAACCGAAAGGGGAGGAGTCGTAGAGATAATCGATTTCAAAACCGAGAGGGGAGAAATTGGTGGAAATTGGCTCGTTTAGAGTAGACATGTTCGGAGACATATTGTCTATGTGTTAAATGTTTCGTTAATTCACTCATTTATGTTTATCAGCATGTTCGGAGACGTATTGAGGTTAAACCGCTAAATGAGTTAATTAGTCGAGCCTTTTAACCGAGTTATTGATTGCCGTTAAATGTGTGTAGAACCGGAAGCGATTATTCCCGATACCCTAGCTCGTCTATCTTTTTATCGTTTATATTTTTAGGTAGATTATCGTCTTTTGTTATTTCTTAGTTGATAATATTCCAACACTATCGCGATTAGAATGTGTAGGATTTATTTTACTTTTATGTGTTATCGATACCACTTCTAAATTCCGAACAGTCTTCCTCGAGAGATCGACCCGGGAAACGAATCATTCGATTCGGTGCTCGGTAAAATAAAAATAATTTGCTACAACAGTATTGACACATGTTTGAAGTGTATTTATTGTAGGATACGCGTCAATACACTATTTGTGAATAAGTGTGGATGACTCCATAAGTCGTACCATCCGATGGCTCCCTAACAAAACTGTATCACGTCATTCTATCATATCAATCATGCCACTAGTGTCATTATAAAGTTCGTAATTTTGTTAATAAAATGCAATAACTAAAATTAGTGCAATTGAAAATGAGTTTTCTGGATGCGATAAAGAGAGTTAAGATTGATAAAAATTTGAATATGATTTTGAATCTGTGAGTAAATATGAGTTCAAAATATAATGAATAAAGTTGATGTAATATCAAAGTAATAAAATAATAATAGTTGTTAATGATAAATAGTTAAAAAAATTATAAGTTGATTAATAATTTTGTTGTAAATTTTTTGGTAATGATTGGATTTTATTATTTAAGTATATTGAAAATATCGACGAGAATTACATTAATTATATCAATAGTTAATTTTGAGTTAAAATTCTATACCCAATCATAGTTCCTCCAAAAAAAATTTATCCGATAAAAAAAAAATTGATTTCCAATCGCACCTGCTCAAAATATTTAATTTGAAGAATAATAAATTACATATAATATAAAAGGTAAAATGAAGATATGATATATCTTTAAGAAATTTCTACATAAAAGTGTGAATGTTTTTGGAGATGGTATACATATATATTGTTTATATGCCTATAAATTACTTAGCTAAACTATTTATTATTTGAAATTATATCATTATCATATTTTATTAACAAAAACACATATTTATATCGTAAAATATCATATTTTATTTATATTTGTTCTAAATATGACACTTAAATAAAAAAGTCCGTCTAACTATTATACATCGTATATATTAGTGATCAACTACTTAGAAAAGTAACTATTGAGTGAAATCAAAAGTTTGTGGAGAGATTATAATGTACTTATGTTCGTCCATTTAATTAGAGGTGTTTGTATCAACGAAAATCAATAGCCAATCAAGTGTGCGCATGAAAGATCAATAGCCCATTTGTTATAGTTTCTGACTTTTATGAGATTATTTGGTGTGAATAGGGTGCGCATAGCAAAGCAGAAGAATGGGTGTACACATGGCAGTGTGTGGGGCCACTGTTATCTTATCCTCGTCAAATGAGAGGTCCAAGATTCCCGTCGAGTCATGCCCAATCCTCCAAGTCCAAGTTTGCAATATCCTTATCATTTGCTGATTTACTTCTACAAAAATCAAATCCTTTTACTTTTACTTTTTTGAATTACGGCAATTTTCAAATTTTCCTATAATCTAATACTCCCTCCGTTTCTTATTAAATGTCGTTTTAATTTAAAACTTTTAAATTACGATTTTAATGGATTGTGTAATAATTTTATTTTTTAATCTTATTAAATTTAGTTTTTGATTTATTAATGGGTGATTTTTAAAGATAATGATAAGAGATAATGTTTGTTAAAGAGAATAAAGATGTAAGAATGAATATAATATTTCCAACGACAATTAATTTGCAAAAAAATTGACACCCTACAACGATATTTAAAACGAAACAGAGAGAGTATAAATTATTGCCATTAGAGGTTGATTCCTCATATTTTGAATAAAAATACATATTTATTTATACAAATTAAACGTAATGTTTATGTGTATGATGTTTTTTAAAGTATAATATTATATAGTAAAATATGCATGTATGTAAAAAAAAAAAGGCATGGCGGACTAATAATTAGACCAATCTAACACAACACCTCCATTTTGTTGAGAATTTTGATGAGTTAGCAATTTTTGTCTCACCTTAAGAGGAAGGTAAATGGGGAAAATAAAAAGTTTTGATTCTTCTGTCCTTTGTCTTGTATCAATAATGTAAGAAGGAAAATTAATATATGCATATCTTTTAGGATATATATTTTCTCTNTCGTCAACGAACCCCTCTATTTAATGATACTTGTATGAACAAATTATTTTTGAAATACTATTCTCCCAAAGCTTATGATCAGTACACCAAAGACGTGCTTCGCGCGACTTCGCGTTTTGGGCCCGTTCGAGCTCGTCCAAACTTGGAATTGAGTTCCGCTTTTTTCTACATGTCGCCAACGAACCCTTCTACTCAACTATTGTTGCCCGATAAATTTTCGGGCCAAATTTATTCCACACGGGACTTTCAACCTTCACACTAAAAACAAAAAGAAAAACAAAAAAAAAACACACGACATAAGAAACTACAAAAACGAATAAAACCCAACGAAAAGTCCTAAAACGGGGGAGAAATAGTGAAAAAAAAAGAAAAAACGTAAAAAGAATAGAATAAACACTTGCAAGAACTCCATCTCTACTAGTTCAAATTCTCCAAAAAGCTTAACGTTTGAATTGACAAAAAATTAAAAACTAGTAGTGATGGAGTTTTGGTAAGTGTTTGCTCTATTTTTTTACGTTTTTTCCTATTGTTTTGTCACTATTTTTTTCCCGTTTTAGAATTTTTCGTTGGATTTTATTCGTTTTTGTAGTTTATTGTGTCGTGTGTTTTTTTGTTTTTCTTCTTGTTTTTAGTGTGCAGGTTGGAAGCCCTGTGAGGAATAAATTTGACTCGAAAATTGACCGGGCAACCATGGTTGAGTAGAAGGGTTCGTTGGTGACATGTAGAAAAAAGCGGAACTCAATTCCATGTTGGGACGAGCTTGAACGGGCCCAAAACGCGAAGTCGCACGAAGCACGTCTTTGGTGTGCTGGCCATAAGCTTTGGGAGAATAGTATTTCAAGAATAATTTGGTCATAAAAGCATCATTGAATAGAGGGGTTTGTTGGCGACGCGTAGAAAAAAACAAAACTTAATTCCGAGTTCGAACGAGCCCAAACGAGCCCGAAACGTAATGTCATGCAAACCGACGCCAATACTAGGTACTAAATTCGCAAAAATGTAAAGGTCAGGTTGTATTTCGCAATAAATAAAGAATAGATACCAAAATCACAATTACCCTAGTACAAGTACTAAAATTATAATTACCCTTGTTTGTTTCAATCATGTAGTTTGATTTTTTGACATTTTATATGCCTTTGGTTTGTATTATTGGTACAACGGTAATATATCCATTATCAAGTAGTGTGCAGTTGTATGGCTATAGGATTCTTCTATATACATGTAAGAATGTATATACTGACTACATCATCTATACTATACCTTATCCAGAATGTATATAGTAACCACATTATGTATCATTGTACCCCTTATTTACCATTAGAGCACATATAACTCAAATCTTAACCATGGTTTATAAACCTGGCTTGGGAATTGACTTCAACAAGCCTCCAAGTCACCTGGTCTATTATTGAACTCGATATTTAATTTTAAATCTTTATATATTATATATAGAGTATTTTCATCATACAAATATGCATACAAGTAATAGAAATAAATATATTTTTGTATATAAATAATAATTATTCATAGTTTTTGTTTTTAAAACAAAAAATAATAATAATAAAAAAACTATAGGGAACAATTCAAACCGGGTTGACCTTGCCGGGTCAATGCTCAGGTCAACTGGGTCAATGCTGTTTTGACTGGTCCAAAGTCACCTGGACGAGTCCCAACTCTGGGTCGTTCGGGTCCCGGGTCGACCCGTCGGGTTGGTCCGAGTTGAGAGACCAACTCGGTAGAGTTGTTAAACACATGTAGAGTTGCTAAACGAAACGAGTCGCCCGTGAGCTCATCTCGTTTCATTAAGGCTCGAGTTCGACTCAGCTCGTTTGAAAGGGAGTCGAGCTCAATCTCCCTTAAAATTTATTTAATTTCATTAACGAGTCGGGCTCGGCTCGGCTCGAAAAGATATTGCTTATACAATTTTCTATAGTTCGTCTTGTAAAAGCTCGAGATTGCCTCGTTAAGGCTTGAACGCAGCTCGTTAATATTGATAATGAGTCAAAATCGAGCTCAATTTTTTGCTCGTATACTTAACGGTCGAGCTAGTCTCGGCTTGTGAAAGACTCGAGCTCGAATTCAAGCACCCTGAGGCCTGAGCTCAAGCTCGACTCGACTTGTTTACAACTTTAATACATCTGAATACCAAACACCAATATTATTTTTAGTAAAAAATAATATAATAAAATAATAGATTCATATTTCCCAATACATTATAAATATAAATAACAAACAATAATGTTAATTTATTTAATAATATAAATGACACTCTTAATAGAAATTAGCTCAATGCTTATTAGCGAGAAGGATGCATAAACCACATAGGTATACAATCAAACGTGGAATAAGCATAATAAGCATTTATATAGAGTTTTTGTAAAGGTCATGAAAAAGGGGAAAATGGGGAATGATTATTTTATAACTCCAAGTTGTTCGCAAATACAACTTGGTTAAGCTCGAGTTCGACTTATTTATTTTCTTAAATAAATAGAGTTTGAAAATTTAATTGAGCTTATTTAATAAACTATTCGAGTTTTAACGAGCTTACACGGATTTTTTATCAAACAAGCACGAATTAAAATATAACCTACTCAGATCCGCTCGAATAACACTCCTTAGAATTATGAAGAAGAAGGTGAAATGAATGGTAAAATGATAATTTGCTAAAGTACACACATCTATACCAATATAAACTTCATATGTCATACATGTGCTAAAGTTTTTCAATTACCGATTTATAGTTTTACAATTTTTAGTTCCAAACATACCTCCTTCTTAATTTATGGAAAAAATTATCAATTAATTAGCTCATCTTAAATCATAGCATAACAACCTTATGTTACCAAAATAACACTTATGACAAAAAATGAAGGGATGTGTAAAATGTTTAGTTTCACATGAGTTCAACAAACTTATATCTTAATGATTTTCTTGCTAGGCAAGCAAAATAAATTAAAATGAAAGATTTTTATTTTCTCTCTTGTATTTATTAAGTTCCTTATATACTATATATTTATTTAATATGTATTAGATAGGAACATCTTATAATATCTTAGTTATATTCTCTTATTATATCTAAATTTTACATTTCCTTAATGAGTTCCCTTACTTTTGTAAATAAAGGATACATAGAGTACTTAAAGAATTGTGAGTTGATCGTGCATAAGGATCTCGCACATAACTTGAAGAAGGTCGAGGCCAAGATATGAAGTGATGAAGATCTTAGACGAGATTTGAAGAATCAAGGAAACTAGAAAACATTGTTCCTACACAAATATTAATCGAAGATTCTGAAGATCTCCAATTGAAGCAGTCGAATTATTTTAAAAGTGAATCAACTCCATATAGAAGGATGTTGAAGACATGAGAATATGAAGACTCTTACCATATTGGAATTTGTATACATGCATGTTATCGTGAAGACTCGACATGCTTGTTGCAATTACAATTATCATTGAGATTATTTTTGAGTTAGTCTTTGAGAGTTCGTGAGTTTGTTTTACATTTAATAGATTAGATTTTCAGCGATTCAGCTTTGTACTCTTACATCATTGAAGAGTTGCAAATGTTTTTTACTCATAAACCTTAGGTACTTAGGGATTATCTATTGTATCAGCTTGGAGAGATTCCAAAGAGCTGCATTAGTCCACATTGTTGCCCAGAGAAGCAATTAACAGTTTCAGGTATAGTGTTGGTACGTTTGGGAGGGAGTCCTATTCTTGCAATCATAAACTATACATCGTGTGCACGACCGATTCGCAAATGAAAGAGCTCCAACAGGACGCTCCACGAAGACGAATTTGTTTAAATACCATGATTTTAACCATAATAAGAACAACAAGAAAGCGTTGCATAAAAACTATGGAACATGCATCACAACAAGAAATATGTAAGGTAAACGTGTGATTTTAATTCGGCTAAACTATATGTAAATGTTNTTTGATAATTTTGAAGGGCTTGCATTATAGTTTTTGCTCAAAGCAAATTTCATGTCTGAGTGAAATTTTGTTCCTATTGCTATGCACTTAATATAAACTTGAAGTAAACACTATTTTTCTATTTACTGGTAGATTAATGATGACTGGTAAGCATGCGATAAATTTATTACACTTGATATTTTATTTAGGCTGAAATTTTTTTTCCGTGTCTTTATCTACCTAATATAAACTTGAACTAAACAACAATTTTGCTTTGCTAGAAGATGAAAGGTAGCTGTGGTGGATGCCTTAAATTTACTATAAAAGAAATTTTACTTGTGATCAAAATCATGTTATAGATTATATTTAATTAATATCTATTTGAATTAAACATTCATTTTAACTTACTGAGGATTTCTTCAACAATGTTATTCATCCACCATAATGCAGAATTTGAGAATAATTAGTACAAGAATTTTGAAACAAGGCATATATCTGTAAACAAAAAACACCAGCATGATAATTAAGAACAATATCGAAATACAAGATTATAAAAATAATAAAGCGGGAAAATTTCAAAACTAGTCCCACAGGTATAGGGGGTGACAATTTTGGTCCCGACGGAATGCAGAAAATATGAATAGTCTCACAACTTTTAAAAAATAATTAAAGTATGACTTTTTCGCCGGATTTACTATTTTCGGCCCGGAACGCCACGTGGCGCACAGGTGGCTTATTTTTTTACACGTTGGCATCCGACGTGTTCATATTTTTTTACAAGTTGTGGGACTAGTTTTGAATTTTCTGCATTCCATCGGGACAAAAAATTTCACCCCCCTATACTTGTGGGACTAGTTTTGAATTTTTTCCTATCTACGTCAGATGCCAGCGTGTAAAAAAATAAGCTACGTGTGCGCCACGTGGCGTTCCGGGCCAGAAATAGTAAATTCGGCGAAAAAGTCCTACTTTTGATCATTTTTTAAAAGCTGTAGGACTATTCATATTTTCTGCATTCCGTCGGGACCAAAATTGTCACCCCCCTATACATGTGGGACTAATTTTGAATTTTTCCCATAATAAAGCCGAAACATTGAAAAATAATAAACTCGTCACCCTTGGCATTCTCGATTTTTCGCCTGTTTCTCCCGGTTTTCATTCGGCATCTCGTCTTCCACTCTGGCGCGCTTCACACTACCGTCTTCAAAATTCTCCTCCACCAGCAACACCATCTTGGCGGTGCCTTCCGGCTTAGTTTCATGTTTCATCGTGACCTCTGGAGCCGACTCGTTTACCATTAGCGAGATTCTCAAGCAATGACCTTGAATCTTAGGCTTCATTTATGTTTATTTCTTCTCCCCTCTCGTCGACAGTGAGAGAGATACTTGATTAGATATATTTTCATATGGTGCTTTAATTATTTAGTGGGATCCTTGCTCTAAATAACTTTCATCGGTTGTCTTTTTTATGGTATCCATCAATGGCGGATCTAGGATGCCCCCATAATGGGGGCACCAATGGCCAAAGTCTCCGCCACCAATGCCGACTCTTCCCAGCCGAAGTCTCAGCCTATATAAATTTACAAAACATGGCAAAATTTAATTGGGGGCCTGTGACCCCATTAAACATGGCTGAATCCGCCATTGGTATCCATAAATCCTATACAAATTTTAACTTAACGTAAATATGTCCTAAAAACATGCAAAAAAGATATTTGTGACATTAAGAAAAATAAAATATAAATACGGACATAAGAGGAATAGTGTTTGTTAAGCATCATAAATTGTCTTATAACTTATTTGAGTAACTTTTTAAATACACCATTTGAAAATTTTATTTTAGCTGGCCTATCATCTAATTTTATTACACTTTTATCACGCCAACTAGCTTTTCAGCTATAAACTATTAGCCATAAACTATTTATAAGGTCATGATAAATTTGGGGAAAATGTTAACGCCCATCGTGTTGCCAAGTTTAGTTTTTAATGGGCTTGCAAACTGCAGGGGCATCAAAGCACCAACAGCCAGCCCAGCCCACCTCTGGTTATTTCCCATTCAATACCTTGACTGAGAAGCTCGCAAAAAGTGTAGACGACAAGCAACTGGTAGACGCTTCCGGCCGACAACCCCGTTCGCACGGCGGCATTGGCTCCGTTCTCGATTCAATTCCATCTCTTATTTTTTTTTTTCGTTTTTTTATGACATAAAAAAACCATCCGTTCTCCAATTGAAGAAGCTTCTTCTTCTTCTAGAAACTTCACACTCGAAATGCTCGACGAAAAGCCTCTGTGAAGCCGGCAAAAAGAAAAACAACCAGAAATGGGCAGCAAGTCGATGATCCAGTGGCCGAAGCAAATCACGCCGTCTCTCGTCGAGACCCTAATCCGCTCGGAGAAAGACCTCGACAAAGCGATCTCCATATTCGACGCCGCCACATCGGAGTACCCCAACGGCTTCCGCCACGACCCGACCACGTTCGGTCTGATAATCCAGCGCCTCCTCAGCGCGAACAAGTTCTTTCCGGCAGAAGACATGCTTCTCCGGATGAGGCGGGAGAACTGCGACATATCCGAGGACGTGTTCCTCTCCATCTACAGGGCCTACGCCAGGGTTCACAAGCCGCTCGAGGTTGTCAGGCTTTTCCGGGAGATGAAGGATTACGGCTGCCAGCCCTCTCCGAGAGCCTATGACGAGGTATTCAACATCCTCGTGAACGAGAGCCATCTGAAAATGGCATTTCGATTCTACCGTAACATGAGGGAGAAGGGTATCCCTGCCAGCGTGGCCTCCCTCAACATTTTGATTAAAGCCCTCTGCAAAAGCAATGGAACTATGGAGTCAGCTTTCAAGATTTTCCGGGAGATGCCAGCTCGAGGGCACATTCCAGATTCGTATACTTACGGGACTCTGATAAACGGGCTTTGCCGGGCTGGGAGGACCCTTGAGGCGAAAGAGCTTATGATTGAAATGGAGGAAAAAGGCTGTTCGCCTTCAGTCGTCACCTACAGTTGCCTCATACACGGCCTTTGCAAGCTTAATAAACTCGAGGATGCTCTAAAGTTGTTTAAGGAGATGAAGATAAAGGGCATAGAGCCTAACGTGTACACGTATAGCTCTATTATCGACGGTCTCTGCAAGAACGGCCATTCTTCTCAGGCCATTGAGTTGATGGAGAGGATGACGCGTAAGTCTTTGTCCCCAAATTCGATTACTTACAGTTCCTTAATTCACGGTTTGTGCATTGAGGGTAAAGTTCTTGACGCCGTTCGGATTCTTGATCGAATGAAACTCCAGGACTTGAAACCCGACGCTGGCCTGTACTCGAAAGTGATAAACGCGTTTTGCGATGTGTGGAAATTCCAAGAGGCAGCAAATTTTCTAGACGAGATGGTTCTTTCGGGAATAACTCCAAATAGGGTGACGTGGGGTCTTCATGTTCGGGTTCATAATAGGGTCGTTCAAGGTCTTTGTGCTGAGGGTCATGGTAATCGAGCCTTTCAGCTTTACTTGGGCATGCGTAGCAGGGGAATATCGGTTGAGTCGAGAACTTATGAATCTCTCGTTCACTGGTTTTGCAAGAGGGATTTGCACAAAGCTGCTCGGGTTATGGAGGAGATGATGGTTGATGGCTGTATTCCGGATAAGGAGACGTGGAGTGTGATTCTTGGCGGATTGTGGGATAGGAAGAAAGTGCGTGAAGCTGCTGGAGTTTTGTATGCTAAGATGGCTGATGAATTTCGAAATGACACTTGCAGTTGAAATATAGAAATCGGGTTTTGAATACAAACTATTTTTAAAATCTTATTTGCTGCTGATATGTGACAGTTTTGGTGTGGTGATGAAGATCGACTTCCTTGGTTAATAATGTAGACTCCGAAGCATCTTATGCTGTTATCATTGGGCTTTGCTAACGAAACTCTTGTAATTAGTCCCTGCAAATGTTTCCATTATCCTATTTCAGCTCTGTTATGGTACTTATTGCTGCTCAAGTCTCAACTCAAGTACTTGATGCTAAAACTACATATTTCAGCATACTATTTGGTGAGGGTGTATTTAGAGCGGTATCTCTGTTGTTTTCACATTTGCTTTAGTTTATCTTTTTCCATGTCTATGAGGTGAAGTCAGCCCAGAGGCAAGAAGGGTTTTCATCTCTATGAAAATACCCGGCTCAGAAGATGTAATGGTCAATCTTGAGACCAAGAGATTATATCTGATCTCTGCCATTGCTTTTTGCCAGGAAAACATATGCAAGCTCAAGCTGGACCATTTTGATTAGGTTACTGCAGAGGTAAAATGCTGATTGGCAATCATGCATCAATGGTGTTTTGTTCGGGCGCGTCAGTGATAGTTCATAGTTGGTGGCAGCTGAGTTTTTCTTTTAGATTTATAGTGTTTTCTCACAGTTTGTTGTCTCTAGTCCATTCTAACTGACTGCAAACCCATCTTTTCTTTTTTCAATTCAATTCTTCCATTTTGAGGTTTAATATCTGTAAATGTTAATGTACTTATAGTTGAAATCCGTGTACGCCGCAGGTGAATTTGTAAGGGATGTTCAAATAGAGATTGGCAGAAAAATTGTACTCCTTCAAGACGTTTGCTTTTACCGTGATTTGCTCTTGCATGACTTAAAAAACCTTGTCATGGATTGTTCCCATGACACCCTTTAATTTTCTGTCAACTAAGATAAAAGTGCGATATTTGCATGGGACCTATTTAGAGGCCTTAAAGAAGAATTCCGAAATTGGGAAGAAAGTGCTTCTTCACAAGAGAAGCCAAAGAGTCTATGGGAGGAGTTGGCGGTAATTAACTGATAACGACATTCGGTTAACTTGGTTTACATAGTAATGAAGAAGATCTTTTATGCTCGTCTGAATTTGAATGAAACGTGCAAGATCAAAGCCTATCTAACAATGTCATTTTGCTCTCGGCAGGAAATTGAGGAAGAATTCATAGAGTTCCTTGAGAAAGAGCTCAACATAAAGGATATACCAAAAAAACCTTTCACCAGTCCTTCAGAGGAGAAAACAGAATGCAGGCTGGCAAAAGTAGCAGCCTGGAGGAGAATATTGACGAAATAGAAGCTGCTCTTGCAAAGCTGAAGAAGGAGTTAGGCTTCTAATTAGTAGTTAGCAGATGTGCAACATTTTTTTTCTTTGGGGGGTGGTTGAATTATGTATTCTTTCTTTAAGCATGGCAAGGTAAGTGGGACCATAACACGATAAATGAGACCAAGTTAGAAACTCTTTTCGTAATTTATTGGTGCCAAATACTCGTGATGGGCGCATTATATATATAAAAAAAAGCAAAAATCTGTGGAAA